CAAATAAGCATCAACACATCCCATGCTCCCAATTGTGCCGAATGAAGGCTCTGCACAACAGCGGCAGCAGCTGGACTTTAAAATAAAAAAAGGGATGTTGTACGTACGTGTCACCAAGAAAAATAAAACTAGGAATACTCAACAGTATTCCGAAGATGGTTTGTCTTTTTTTTTTTTTTTAACTCGTAAATATGTGAAGTAACAGAGTATTTTAAAAAATGTTTCTTCATTAGGGATTTCTACAGGATTTGCTTTTGAAAATAAATAGGAACTTGACCTTAACTACAGAATAATAAAGTAAAATAAATGAGGTAACCTTTCCCCAAATCCTTTAAATTAATCACTAATACGATTCTCAACAATACAAGGATCTAAGGCAACTCCAAAAGAATCACGATGGAAAATGCCGTCCACATCCAGAGAAAGAACTATGGAGTCTGAGCGCAGATGGAAGCAGACTATTTGCTCTCTCTCTCTCTTTTTTTTGTTTTGTTTTGTTTCTTCTTTCTTGTGGTTCCTCCCATTCATTCTAATTCTTACTTACAATATGACTAATGTGAAAATATGTTTAATAGGAATGTGTATATAGAGCCTATATCACATGGTGCCCCGTCTTGGGGAGGGAGGGAGAGAGGGAAAGGGGAGAAAATTTAAAACTGAGAAGCTTATGGAAGTGAATGTTGAAAACTAAAAATAATTTTTAAAAATTAACCATTAATAACTGCTTTTTCAGCAATTAATTTGTATCTAATCAACCAAGAGACTCTGTTCATGGCTAAAACAGACAGTTCCTCAAACTTAAGTACCTGGTTTCTTCTCTAACTAATTTAAACCATGAAATTCAGAAGGTTATTTTAAATATATAATGCTGACGTACATGACATCTTGCTACTTGTTCCACTTATGTGTCCAGAATTGTAGGGATTGTTCTATATCAGCATTTCCCAAATGAATTTGACCACAGACCCATGTGGAAGTGTGAAATACACTGACAAAATCTGTAAATTCTGGAAAAGGCAGGATGAGGAAAATTTTAGAGTAAAATAGAAAATTTAAGTTAATTTTGATCTTGAAAAAGTGGCTAACAGAAGTATTTCTGATAGTTTCACCTTTAAAATAACAATAATAATAGGTCCATTTAGGAAATAATTGCACTACAGAGCATGGCACAGGCCCATACAGAACCTACACAACAAATACTTAACTGACTGACCAGTGGCTTTCAAGCCCTAGTTACACCATTAGGTGTCAGACCTTGGCTTGGAGTCTTCCCCTCCCACAGCCAAGTCCTGTCTATTCTTTCAGATTTTCTCACATTTGTCTTATTTTTTCCATCCCTATTGCCAATACCCTAGCACAGGCCTTTATCACCACCCATCCAGATCATTAAAACAATTACCGAGTGCCTACAGAGTTTGTGCAAACTCCTAATCCCAGCTGAGATGCATGACTACCCATGACCTGGCACGGCACCCACCCCTCTTGGTCAGGCTGCAGTCAAACTGGACTCCTCACATCGGCACCTCTGTTCTTCCATGCTTTTGTTCGTACCCATAACTAACCTGGAGACCTAGCTTAGATGCCATCCATCTCAAGGCACATTCCAAGTCCTTAAAATTGCCTTTTCCTCCACTTAGCACTTTGCTCACTACTTCTCTTTTGGCATTAAGTCTGTTTCCTTTAATTCCTAGAGATCTGAGCACCTACTGTGACTTTAGTCATCTAAGCTCCACCAGGACAAGGATCCTGTCATTCAGCTGGTAACCGGCAGACCCCAAACTGCTCTCTCTATCACAAAGGCACCTAAGAACTATGTGCTCAGTTTCATCCTTGTCTTCAGACAGACTGCTTTTAAAGCGATGGTCCATAAAATTTTAACTACGAAAGGTAAATTAATGAATTAAAAAAAACAGTATCAATCCAGGACAAAAAGTCTGGCTACGTAGGAGCATCTTTGATCAAATTACCTGCAGCTTTTAATGAAAGTCAAGCTGTTTCTGATGAAATAGATGGCCACTGCTCAAAATGCTCATGATAACAAGCATTCAAAAATGGTCAATTATGCTATCCAATTCTAAGTCATGCCATGGTTACACTCTCAGAGCTCTCCTGCAAGGCTTCAACTTCAAACTGAGAACCACCTTCCCATATCCACAGACAGTGAAATCTGGTGAAAGGTGAACAGAATTTGGCCTCCAGGCCCTGCTTCTCACTACCTGCTTGGCTGCTGGCAAGCCTTTCCTAGCTCTGGGTTTCCCCCTCCTTCTTTGTGAAAGACTACATGCCTAGCACTGTGCTGAATGCTGGGGATGCAAACAGGACAGTAAGGCAGTGAGGAGCGCACAGTCTAATGGGGAGACACCTGGGGAAGGTCTCAGATGCGAGTCAGAAGCATAGGATCCCCTGGTCCTCAGAGTACAGTGGCCTCTTCTTTCATGTCATCTCCACTCATGAAATCCCAGTGGATCTGACAGGACCAAAGACTCTGGGAAGAGAATTTGCCTTTCTGGCTCTTGGTGCTGTGGCTGCAGCCCCCGAAGGAGACATCTTCCCGGGAGGATGGCTGCCGACATTACGACAGAAGCAGGCCCAGAAGGCTAAGAGGACACCGTTATTGCCAAGGCTCTTAGGCTCAGAGGGGAGCCAGTGACGGTGGCGCTTTGACTGCCTGGCCCATGCCCATCCTGTCTCTCCTGCAGCATGTCTGGCTGCTCAGTGCGGATGCTGTGGCAGGCAGGACTTTCACTCAGCACCCCAACTTTATGACCAGCCGCTATTTTTCAAGTCATACATACACTCATTTCCTCACGGACTTTTTTTTTTTGGCCATTTCTCAGCATGCAAGTGATAAACTTACCACTAAGCAAGTTTCTATCATGCTATCTGAAGTTTGTAAAAACCAAAACCTGTTAATGCTATTTTTTTTTAAATCAGATAACTCCTTTTACCCCTAAGTCCTATCCTTTAAACCTCTTCTAATATAATAAGCGCTAAGCATTCATTCAATGTTTGCTATGTACCAGGCCTGGGAAAGCACAGAGGGGAGAGGGTTTGGAGACCGAAATGAAGCTAAAGAACAGATTTAGAAAGGGGAGGCACAGGGAGAGAGGGAGGGACAGGAGGCTAGGACCACAGCAATCAGAGGAATGCCTGAGCTTCTGATTAAGGAAGTGAATCCTCGCGAGTAACAGTGATATCCAAAGTGTGATCACTCCTATGGAGGAGGTTGTGGGATTTGAGAGGACTGAAGAAGTAGAAGGTGTGGGTACTTGGAGGAGTGTCAACGTTCTGAAGTCTTCTAAGATAAGGGCAAGAGCTGGGACCAAGAGGAAGACAGAGAGCCAGGGGCTGACCTCCCAGAACATGGGGCTGCCTGGGGCTGGTGCAGACCAGCCCCCCACCCTCATACACGAAGGGAGAGGGTATAAGCCTTTACCAAGTACCTACTCTGGGTAAGGCACTATGTATGGTAAGGTCTTCATAAATATTATTTCTTTGGCTCCTCATAACAATCCTGAGAGGTAGATGCTATTATTACTGCCATTTTACAGCTGAGGAAACTGAGAAAGACAGAGGTGAAGCGACTTGTCACACAGATGGTAAGTGTCAGGGACAGGATTTGAACTCGGGTCTTCCTGATTCTAGGCCCAGTACTGTATCCACTGCACAGATAACTTCTGGTTGTGAAGTGATGATGGCAGAGGGAGAGTCTGGAAGGGGCTGATGGGTGCAAAGAAGATTTTGCCTCTTGGACCACAGTGTTAGGTGCTGTGAATAAATGTATAGGCAGTGCTGGACAGGATGGCCAAGGATACAGGTTTTAGGGAAGGAAAGGATCCAGAATGAAAGGAAGCTTGTTCATATCAGATTTCTTTTCACCAATCCCTGATATGGTCTAAAGTCCAACCAACTGGATCCATGTGATCAAGAAGATTACAATAAAAGATTGCAATCCCTGAAGGGAGGCATGCTAGAGAAATACCCATACAAAGATCAAGATAAGTATATGGTATGGTCCAAATGGTTGGTATAGACAATAAGTGGTATGAGTTGAGAAGGAAAAAACCACTCCATAGGATGGTAGGCCAGCGACCCTGACAAAGTGACACCTGAGAGTGAGTGGTACCTAGAAGGATGGGTACTGCTCAGATCTAGTACAAGTATGCAGAACATAATGTGCAGGAAAGCAAAAGGCACTGCAGAGGCATGAGACAGATGGCAGTGAGCCAACACGTGTGGCTGGCCCAGAGGGGCCCAAGAGCAGAGAAGCCTAACGTAAAAGCTGAAGCTGGGAGTGGAAGGCCCAAAATGCCAGGCTAAGTTCTCACCCACCACATTCTCTCTCACTTGGAATTAAAGAGTTCATCCTTTTCACAAACCAACTGCACACAAAGTGAAGTATGTTGTTCCTACTGTCACTCAGGAGCACCTCAAAAATACGAAAATTAAGAATGAATATGGAGGCTGCTTTTGAAAAACCATTCCTACAGTATGAGCAAGGCCATAAGAGAAAGGTTATTAGAAACCCTCTCTTCCATAACTTAGTGGTCCAGAGTAAGATTCCCCAGCATAAACCTCAAATGCAGGCTTCTTCATAATCAGCATGCATCTACGACTATGGCCGTGAGGCCACAAAAGCCAAACCGAGGCTGGCTTCCCAGGCACATGGTCATTAAGCATCAGGCCTAGTTATGCGGTTCTGTTATTTCAGGCATCCCAAGGGCCCCAAATGCACACATAAGCTTAGTAACCATGAAAAAGATGTACTGTTCTCACAGAATTTCATTGGCCACACATTTTCCATTATAAACTTACAGATACTTGTTAGACAAGAGGATTCCATTTTCAGAGGAGAGAAACATCACAACTTTCAAAAGATGACGATACGCTAAAGAAGCCAAGCACTAAGGCAGGATAATCACAGTTTCTCATTTCTCACCTCCTTGTCTCCATTCTGCATTTGATGTCCTGGGGCCACGCAGTTATTGAAAAAGCCTTACCTGGAGCTGAAGCGTATGCCGGAGGATGGTCTCTTCTAAGGCCTGAATCCACTTCTCTCTCTCATCAGCATCACGAGCTGTTAAAGAAGGTGCATATCATTACCGCCTTAAGCATCAACAAGACATTTTTTTTTAAAGTGAGGCAATCGGGGTTAAGTGACTTGCCCAAGGTCACACAGCTAGTACGTGTCAAGTGTTTGGTCTGAGGCAACAAGACATTTTTAAAAATATTACATATTCACATCTGATATGACAATGTTGCGGAACTTTCTAATTAGAATAGAATTTCATTTAACAGGCTCTTTCATCCCCAAGCATTGTAGCACAGGCAGTGGGAAAGCCTTGGCCCAGGCCCAGGAGCACTGGGCGGAGTCTCGTCTTGGCTCTGCCCTCTCTAGCTTTGGAAACGGGTAATTCATTTCCTCTTAGCTACACTTAGTTTTCTCATTTGCAGAATGAGAGCAACAGACTGAAGATTCTTTAAGGTGATTCCAATTCTATGCTTTTATGACTCAGTGATGCTGTTTGTAGTAAGGAAGACTGCTGAATTGTTTCTCCCACGCTTATTAATTGCTTACTGTGTGCAAGCACTGCAAGAGATACAAAGTCTGGATAAGAAATGGCTCCTCCTGCCAAGGGGTTCAGAGTGTAACAGAGGAAAAGGACCAACACAGAAAAGAAGATTCACAGCATTCCATAGGCATCAAGAGCTGGCAGACAAGGGTGAAGGTCATTAGCAGACCCAGGAAGCTTCGTTACAAATGAATTATGCCCACAAATAATGTCCAAACTCACTTTGGCCAATAGTTTCTACCTCTTTCCCACCATATCTTTAGCCAAAACAGTGGTAACAAGGTGAACTTCCTTCTACCTCCCAGGTCCTCTGGTCTGTGGGAGATGGTAAACTCCTTCAGGGCAAGGGCCCTGTCCTAGGCACCTCTATATCCCTTATATGGCCAACTTCTGTGCCCTGCAATATAGGAGGCACATCCCTTTTCAGTCTGCTGTCCATATTTGCCACAGCTTTCCTTCCAAGGAGCAAGATGGCTGCAGTCGCTATCTGCAGTGATCTTTGAGCCCAAGAATACAAAATCTGCCACTGCTTCCATTTCTTCTCCCTCTATCTGCCATGAAATGATGGGACCAGATGCCAAGATCTTAGTTTCTTTGAAGCACTGATCTTAAAATCAGAGCCCTGAGTTGGAATCCCAAATCCATTTTTCACCTCTTGTGGGGAAAGTTGGCCCCACTTCCCTGCTCAGGGAGCAAACCTGCAAAATGAAGGGGTTGGCCTCTCCAGACCTCTTGTGGTCATTTAGTCGTTTTCAGTCGTGACTGACTCTTCATGACCCCATCTGGGGTCTTCTTGGCAGAGATACTGGAGTGGTTTGCCATTTCCTTCTCCAGCTCATTTTATAAATGAGGAAACCGAGGCAAGCAGGGTCCCACAGCTAGTCAGTGTCTGAGGCCAGATTTGAACTAAGGAAGATTAATCTTTCTGACTCCAGGCCAGACACTCTATCCAGTGCACCACCTGGCTGCCCTCTTCCAGGCCCAGGAGTCTATGAAATAGACTAGGGCTACTACACCTGGCCCAGGCTTCAGGGAGAACAAACACATTTGCTGCCTGAGTGTCTCTACCTCTCCCTCACCTGCTTCAACCATTTCCCTCCAGGTATTTTTCACTCTAAACCAAGCCTGGTAGGAAGAGAATTACAGAAGATTAGTAATAACAGCTAGGATCCATATGGTACTTCAGGGATTGAAAAACACTTTATATTACATGTGATTTAAGTTTTAAAATTCAATTCAATTTTTAAAAAGGAAGATAACACCAGAGGAGTCAAGAAGCCTGAGTTTCAGACTTGTTTGCTGTTATCTCGATCTATCCATCTATCTGTCTGCCTACGCTACCTCTCTACCTACCTGTTTCTATTCATCTGACTTTCTATCTATCAATCTATCTATCTACCTATCTATTCATCCATCCATCCACCTATCCATCCAAATACACCCATTCATATCTCTCTCTCATCATCATCATCATCATCATCATCATCATCATCACTGACTCTGGCAAAGTCCTCATCATCATCATCACTGACTCTGGCAAAGTCCCTTCTCCTCTCTGGACCTCAATTAACTCATATGTAAAATTAGGGCACTAGGCTAGATATGGTCTCTAACAAAAAAGATCAGAAAACTGGGGGCTAGAATAGAAAGAACCTTTGGGATCACTTAGTCCAACCTTTTTGTTTTATATTATGATGATTTTACAATCCTAAAAATGGATTTCACTGCTCTAGTCGCTAAACACTGCATCCCCCAGGAAAACTCATTCCTTCATTTGAAATCAATAAAAAAAATTAACAATCAATTGGTTAAAAGGCATTTATTAAGCAATTACTATGTGCCTTGCAAGCACTGCCAAAAACCCTGGGGACACAAAGAAATGCAAATACAGTCTCTGCCCCCAAGAAGCTCATATTATGATGTGGGAGACAACATGTAAATGACATACAAGATTTAAACAAAATAGATAGGGATCATCTTGGAGGGGAGGGCACTAGCTGCTGGGCAGACCAGGAGAGGTCTCAGTCAATCAATGAATAAGTATTCATAGGTACTGGGTATACAAGAACAAAGAATGAAACAAGTCCTACCCATGGGGAGCTGACATTCTAATGGGGAACATAAGAGTACATATATAAATACCTAAAGCATGAATATGAAGGGAATAAATATTCCATATTGATCATTCATGTAACATAAGGTAGTTTGAGAGGGAGGACACTGGTAGCAGCTGGGATAATCAGGAAAGGCTGCTCCATACAGAACATGGCATTTGAGCAGCATCTTGAAGGGAGGGACTATGAGGCAGATGTGAGGGGGGAGAGCTCTCTAGGCATGTGGTACAGCCAAAGCAAAGGCTCAGAGATAGCAGCTGAAGGGATCTCCAGAGAGAAGGCCACTTTGGTTAGATTACAGAGTGATGTCCAGTGAAGCTGGACATATCGTTTGGGGCCAGGGAGTATAGTGCTTTAAAAACTAAACATAGGAAATTATATTTTATTCTAGGGGCAAAAGGAAGCCACTGGAATAGACCAAGAAGAACCACAGAGTCAGCTAAGCACTTATGGAAAATTGGTTTGGCAGCACTGTATAGGAGGACCTGATGGCAAGGAGACCAATTTAGGTGGCTGTGGCTAGAGGTGATTAGGGCCCAAACAGGCAGAAATGGCAATGGACATGTGGAAGGAGAGAGAATGAGGAGTGAAGATGATGGCTTCCCATATGTTGCATTTCCAATGTCTCTGAGACATCTAGTTTGAAATATCCAAGTCAATTGTTGATGCAGGACTCAAATTCTGGGAAGGGAAGGGGGCTGGATATTCAGATCTGACTGTCAATGGTGTAGAAATGATAGGTAAGTCCCTCAAATTTGATGAGGTTACCAGAGAGGGTGTGGAGTGAGGGAAGAGAAGAGGGCCCAGGACAGAACTTTCAGGAACACTCGCAGTCATGGAGCTAGCAAAGGAGACTGAGAAGGATAAGTGAGACAGGTAGGCAGCAAACTAGGAGTCAGTAGCATCATGAAAACCCAGAGATTGGAGAGAAGATCCAGGAGGAAAAGATGATGAACGGGGTCAAAGGCCACAGAGGTCAAAACAGATGAGGTCTGAGAAAAAGCCATTAGATTTAACAACTTAGAGAACATTAGTATTGGTTGGTTTTGCTGCCTTTTTTTCTCCCTCATCTTACTTTTTTTTTTTTTAAGTAAGTGAAAGGGGAGAAGGGGAAAGGAACAAGCATTTATGTAGCATGTACTATGTACCAGGCACCGTGCTAAACACTTTAGAAATATAATCTCATTTGATCCTCACAATAACCCTACAAAGCAGGTGCTGTTATTTTCCCATTTTAGGTGAGGAAACCAAGGCAAACAGAGGCTTAATGACTTGTTCAGCTGGCTAATAAGTTCTGAGCCTGGATTTGAACTCAAGTCTTTCCAACTCTGGGCCCACTGCTCTATCCACTGTACCACCTAACTGCCCCTAGAAATGGCTGAGAAGGGGGAGAAGGTAGGCAAAGGGATAGGCCAAAAGATATTGACAAAAATCATTTTTAGAAAAAGATTATTGGAAACTTTGGAAAGAATATTTTCACTTGAATGATAAGGTTGGAAGTCGGATTACCAAAGGTTGAGGAGTGAATGAGAGGAGGAAAAGCAGAGAGCACAGGCCATTTTCCAACACCTCTGGCTAGTTGAAGGGGATGGTAGAGTCTCGCAGAGGTTCAAAGATGAAGGCAACTTGGTACTCCTGCAGAAGACGGAATGTTAGCTGAGGACCTGATGAAATCCAAGTAACTAAGAGAAGGGAGAACATTCCATGCACAGGAAACAGCTAATACAAAGGCATCGAGTCCAGAGCTGAAGTGTCATAAGTGAGGCAGAGTCACTGGGATAGAATGTACAGAAGACAGTTGAGTGTAAGAAGACTCGAGAGACAGGAAGGGGTCACGTTATGAAAACATTAA